GGGGGGAGGGGGGTGGGTGGTGAGGGCGGATAGCAAAAAATAGCTGTTATTTCAGCTGTGGGGACCAGCCCTTGATAGGAGTGCCCTCGCCTTTCCCAGACTCAGGAAAAGCTATCTGCATGTCCCTAAAGCCCCCGCCCAGTTGAGGAGGAGATGCTGTCCAGGGGACATAGCCAGTCGGACCAATAGGGGCTAGAAGAAGGCAAAAGGATCTGTCTGTGGTCCTGAATGTACAGCTCCCACGACCCTGCCATCCAGCCACTGGCTGAAGTTACAGGGTGTTAGGGGGTGGGTTAGGGGTGACTAGGTGACTTTGTGTATGAGTGTGTGTGTGTGTGTGTGTGTGTGTGTGAGTGTGTGTGTGTGTGTGTGAATTTTTTTTTGTGATAGCTGGAATAGCGCAGATTGTTTTGGTTCCCGTCCCCGGAGGCCAGCAACCTCAATCCCACCAAGACAACAAAGTTTCTGAGGCCAAAAGGGCAGTAGAAGGCTCCCTCCCCCAACCCCCTGACTTACCAGTCAAGTTTACATCTTGCTGCGGGCTCCACCAGAGCCCACTGATGCGGAGAGAATGAAATCCAGGAGAAGACTCCTGCTTAAAGGGACAGGCTGCTCTGGGGCGCTCTACTAGCCCGGCAAGAAGTGTTGTCAGCACAGCTGTGTGTAGTCTGTCTCAATTTGTCCCCACAAAACAAACCAAGATGTCTACCCTTCTTTCTCTGAAGTTCTGGCTAACACTAGATATGACAACAAAAACCTAAATGGTATGTGTATATGTATACACATATACACATACCATACACACATACATATATATATATATACACACATACATGCAACATACACATACACTTAAGTATATAAGTATATAATACATATATACTTACATCCTTACATCCACACATATTGAATGGCCAGAGGATTCTGTGTCTTTGTAGAACACTTTTGATTCAGTATCTCCTATTCTCTCACACTAGAAACCGGTTAACAGAATATTAGACCTTTGTATCTGATGTAATCATAGTTAACAGATTATTGAAAACCTTTTCTAGATTCAATGAGGATAATAACATCATAGAATCTAGAATGTCAAAGCTAGAAAAGACCTTATAATAATAATCACAACATATTTAAAGAGTCCACATTAAGGCCTATATGGTCCTTTTCTTCTAACAACCCTGAGAGATAAATAGTAAAAGTATCCATGTAACATATGAGGAAGCAGCTTTATTGAGCTTAAGTGACTTGTCCAGATCATAGTGAGTAGCCAAGTTACAAGGAGAAATTCCTGACTTCAGGTTCAAAACCATTTCCACTGCATCATGTTACAATTCTATGCTCTACTTCAGGGCATAGAATATAAGATCTGAAAAAGACCTTAAAAATAATCTAGTCCAAACGTGTCATTTTACAAATGAAGAAAATGAGACCCCAATTTGGAAAATACTTGACAGAAGCAAAGAATAATCTACAAACTAGGTCTCCTGACTCCCAATCCATTGCTATTGCAGTCCAGGGTAAGCACCATCCTAGAAATGTCATTGTGGCTGTTAGAGCCTAGGGACAATCAAGATATAAAGCTAAGGAAAGAATGAAGTAGGTTTGTGTTAATGAGATTTTTGTATGGGGGAGGAGGATGTGTCACCTTTAGAATGATAAATAACTCACTATAACATGGTTAATCATTTTCTCTTAGAGTAGTACCATGGGAAAACAAAATGACCCAGGAGTCAGTTGAAGAATGTCAATGATTCCCAAACTATGCTTGTTGAGTGATTATACAAACCAGATCAATAGGGAACTAAGATCCTCTGACAAAAACAACAACAACAAAACCTTTGGAAAATTTCCTAAAATAATCTTGTCAAATAAGTCCTTTTTGGTCCATACCAGTCCATCCTACTTCCCAAATGCTCCTCAATTATCTCCTCTGTAAAATGAAGAGATTGGACTGGCTCATCTCTAAGCTCCCTTGAAGCCCTAACATTGTGTATTCTAAGGTTCCTTTCAGTTCTGATATTTTGTGTTCTGTATCCTAAAATCCATTACATCTTTTACATTTTATGTTTTAAGGATCTTTCCAGCTCTAACAATCCATTGTTGTAAGGTTTATTCTAGCCCTAAGAGTCTTCAAAACTCTCAGAAAGCAAAATCAATGAATCCTGTATTTGTTGTTACTGGACCAACTTAAATCGCTACTTTCCTAGCCCAGCATTCCAGGATATTAGGTTCTACTTTCTCCTCGAAGCTGTCTACTACTGGTGATTCCAGTCAATTTTGATCTCTCCTTTCTCTAGCTCCATTTACATTTTTCATCTGTATCATGAAATTTATACCTGATCACAGGCATAAATGGAAGCAGCTAGATGGTACCACTCACTGGATAGAATGCTAAGATTGTAGTCAGGAAGACCTGAGTTCAAATCTGGCCTTCAATTCTTACTAGCTGTGTGACTTTTGGCCAGTTACTTAACCTCTGTTTGCCTTAGTTTCTTCATTGGTAAAATGGGAATAATAATAATAATACCCACTTTCCAGCATTGTGAGGATTAAATGAGATAACAATTGTAAAGTGCTTAGAGCACAGTGCCTGCCACATAAATGTTAGCCTATTGTTATCACAGGCCATTCTGTAGATAGAAAATAAAGATGCATGGCAAGTAGATGGTATTTTGGGGAAGGAAGGTAAGAATGACTGAGAGAAAATAGTGAAGGATATAAAGCATAGAAAGGGTTATGATATGAAACACAGAATGTTAGGATGGTGAAGAGGGGATAGGGTAGTGGGAAAAGTAGGAGGTAGCAGAAATTATGATGCCAAACCAATTGAAATATTAAGAATACCTTTGGAGGTAACAACTGGATGGGCTCCCCCAAAAAACTCAGTGAGCATTGGAAGCCAGAGGAGACCTAAGCAGAAGTCCCAGTGCCTTCTCAGGTGGACCCAGAAGGTCAATTCCAGGTGTTTTTGAAGATGCTCCTCTGGTTAAATGAGAAGCGGTCACAGAAGGGATAAATAGTCCAGTTCAGTAATGCAAAGTTACCCTCTATGTGCTGGAACTATATGTGTTTTCCTGATGTACCATCCCCTTCATCCAGACCTGAGCCTTTTATTGCCTAGGAGGATAATCTCAAAGAGGGAACCTATTCAATTCAATTCATTTCAAATAAACACTTATTAGATATCTATTGTGGCAGACATTGTTTTAAACATTCGAGGAAGTTTGGTCCCTGAACTCACAGGGCAGTCCAATAGCCCTAAGAAACAGTGTGGCAACTTGGCCTATGAAACAGGACAGTCTTGGTTCTAGTCCTGCTTGTAATGAGTATTTCCTATTACTTAACTTCTCAGGGCCCTAGACAAGTCTCTAAAACTATAAATTGCAGAACAATTGCCAATCTGAATTACAGAGTCTCCTGATCTGGAACTCCTCTCTCTACACTGGTCACTTTACAGGTCCATATTAAAAAAAACACATCTTCCTAAGATGTTTCCTCTTTTTTTCCCTTCCCTTTTTTCTCTCTGTTTTCTTATATTCCCACTCCTCTACCTACTATCTTTTGCTTTTTCTCTTTTCTCTTCCATCTTCTCTGTCACTTTTCTTTTCTCTTTGTTCTCTGTTATTTCTTTCTATTCTTTCATTTCTCTCTATTTTATTCCCTCTCCCTCCTTTTCTTTTCTCTTTCCTTTCCACCTCTTCCCTTCTTTACCCCTTCTCTTTTCTCTGTCCCTTCCTGTTCCCTGTTCACCCTCCAGGTTCCTTTCTCCTCCTCTCCTCTCTTTTCCTCTCTTTCTTTCCTTTTCCCTTCTTCTTTGCCTTTTTCTTCTCCTCTCCCTTCATTCTTTGTCCCATCTTCTATTTGTGAGTGTACCCTAGGTTATTGTCCTGGAACATCTCCTCATCTCACTCTCTCTCCAGATAAACTCATCAGTTACCATCTCTATACAGAGCTCCCAGATCTACATATCCAGCCATAATCTTTCTCCTGAGCTACAGTCATAAATTACCAAGTGCTTATTGGGCATTTCCCACTTGATGTCCTATAGGCATCTCAAGATCAACATACTCAAAACAGAACTATTTGTCTTTCCCCCAAAATTCACCCCTTCACTTAATCTTCCTAGTTCTGTTACTTGGCTTTGCAGTCTTACTGTCACCTTTAATTCTTCATTCTTTCTCAATCCCCACATCCAAACAATTAACAAATCTTGCTGATTCCACCTCTTCAATATCTCTTGTATTCTTCCCTGTCTCTCTATTCACAAATCTATCATTCTAATTTAGGTCCTGATCACCTTTCTCTAGACCAGTAGTTCTCAATGTGTGGATCAAGGACCCCTAGGAGTCTCCATTCAAGTCAAAACTATGCTCACAAATATAATAAGATATTATTTGCCTATTAAAATTCTCCTTCCTTTTCCCATTAGA